AAGCTTTTTGAGGTTGGGAAACGGTTAGGGTCGCCAGGCCCCCCCTTGGCCACCAACGGGGGATGTCAGACTGAGGCTTGGAGACTCTTGGAGATTGGGGGTGGAGCCTGGGGAGGACAGGGACCCCAGTGGGGCGCAATGCCGTAGAGTCCACCAGGCCCGTAGTCAGGATGTTGTCATTTGGGGGTCCTTTAAATAAGTTGGGGGAAGGCACTGACATCAGTTCTGGAAGCAAGCCATGCTTGGAGAAGGGGTCCTGGCAGCGAGGGCCTGGGCTAGATGGAAGTTGTGGGGCCTTGGTAGGAAGTCAGGGGGGCAGGCCCCGAAATGCCCCACTGTGGCTACGGGCCTGGAGCCCACCCTCCAAAGCAGCCATTTCCTCCAGGGGAACTGATCTCTGTAGTCTGGAGATGAGCTGTAATTCTGGGGGATCCCCAAGTCGTACCTGGAGGCTGGCCTCCCTAGAAATGGATATGGAGGGAAAGGGCTAACCTCCCCCCCCCCCAAGGTCCTTTATAAATTATAAATGATCAGGTGATCCATTCACGGATCACCCAATATCTCATGTAATTTGACCATGTGGCTACTTCGATCGTGAGGCAGACGTAAGTCACCTCAGGTATTTTTTTGTGTGGCTGGCCTTTATCTCATCCTGCCCACCTGCCACCTAAACCACCTCTTGCTTGGGATGTGGAGCAGTTAATCTTCCTTTTCTTCTCCCCCTCCCCGGTGCGCTTTAAAAACAGTGTGGCAACCTGCACATGCGCTATAGAGCTCCCCGAACCCTCTGGAGCTTCCTTCCTCTCCTGAGAGCTGGCCTGTCCTTTAGGGTTGTCTAAGCAACCATAGTAACTGGCAAAGTCACCAGCAGTGCTCCCTCTAAGCTGTGGAGTCTTCTGAGCAGAAATTCTACTTTGTGAGCTACTGCTACTGGTAGTGAGCATGTGTCTGCAAACGGTGCCCGAGCAGTGGGGGCAGGGATGCCACGGTGAGACCTCCATTTGGGGCTCTGACCAAGGCAGCGTACTGGGGTTTTCCACATTCTCATTTTCTGCACTGGTGTGTTCCTGTGGCTTCATTCCCCCCCCCCGTTCCAGATGCGTTTTGCTCCCTGTAATGGTCAGTTTGATATTATATTGCTTCCCTTGCTCGAAAGCCAGTCGAGTCCGACTCTAGGGTTGCGGTGCTCATCACCGTTTCAAAGCCGAAGAGCCAGCGCTGTCCGAAGACGTTTCCGTGGTCATGTGGCCGACATGACTAAACACCAAGGCGCACGGAACGCTGTTCCCTTCCCACCGAAGCGGTACCTATTTATCTACTTGCAATGTCTTGCTTTCGAACTGCTAAGTTGGCAGGAGCTGGAACAAGAGACGGGAGCTCACTCCGTCATGCGGCACACTCAGGTCTCGAACTGCTGAACTGCCGACCTTCCACAGCCTGCAGTTCAGCGTCTTAACCACTTGAGCCACCGCAGCTCATTGTAATATTGCTTTACATCCGGCCTAAAAACCTGCTGTTTAAATCTGCAGGGAGACGTGCCGGACATAAAGGAATGTAATATCAAATCGACCGCTATAGAGAGCAAAGCATGTGTGGAGCAGGGAGAGAAATCCTGAAGCCACAGGCACACACAAGCCAGGAAAATGAGGTGGAGAACTGGCAATATTTGTCCTGAGAAGAGAACTCGAGCAAACACCTGGCAAGCAGGATGCTTCCGTCCTCAGCTTTGGGGAGCCAGTGCCGGGGGGCACCCCCAGTGCAGCTGGGAGGCAAGGCTTGGCCAGCAAAATTCGCAAACCATTTGCATAAAATGCAAATTAGGCTGTCTGGATTTGGGGAGTCTCGGTTGTACGCATTATAAATAAATATTTTTAAGAGCACCTTGAAATCCCTTTGCATTCAGACTGGAGCCCTTGCAGAATTTAGGAGAATGCAGGCCTGGAATTAGGTGGGGCAAATGGGGGCCTGGAAGAGGAAGGGTAATAAAGTCAACGGGAACTAGAAGAGATGTATTATAAATTGCAAACAGATGGCACGCCATAATAAAGGAGGTCTTTTAAAAAAACAAATAGAGGAAATGTCAAAGGGCAGATTAATTTCTGAAGATAAGAGTCCAAACTGTTAAGCTGAATGGGGTATAAAACTTCTTTTTTATTGGCACTCCCCAAAGGTAAGCAGCCACGTTCTCAATCATTTCTGTCTCCAGTAAAAGCATGCCAGTTTCCAGGCTTTGGTGGAAATCATCGTCTGGGGTCATGCGGGCTGCTGGGGACTCTCCTGATTTTCTAGTCTCTTCCTGTCCCTGGCAAAACAGCCTCTGTTCCATTTATATATGTATTTTAAAAAGGTAAAGGTTCCCTTGCTCGAAAGCCAGTCGAGTCCGACTCTAGGGTTGCGGTGCTCATCTCCGTTTCAAAGCCGAAGAGCCAGTGCTGTCTGAAGACGTTTCCGTGGTCATGTGGCCACTAACACCAAGACGTACGGAACGCTGTCACCTTCCCACCGAAGTGGTACCTATTTATCTACTTGCAATTTCTTGCTTTCAAACTGCTAGGTTGGCAGGAGCTGGAACGAGAGACGGGAGCTCACTCTCCCGTCATGCGGCACACTCGGGTCTCGAACTGCTGAACTACCAACCTTCCACAGCCTGCAGTTCAGCGTCTTAACCACTTGAGCCACCGCAGCAAACTGTACACACAGCAATCTGTACACAGTAGTACAGCCCACAGCCCTGGAGGTTTTATCCAAGGAACTTTGCGACGCCTTCTGTACTGTGGGTAGGATCCGATTCTGTAATTTTGCATCGTTTAATGTGTCATGTTAACACTTCAGCCCTGTTTCGGTTCTGTTTTTAGACTTCTTGGTGCTACCCTATTGCCTGTGCAGAAAAGGCCCCTTGAATAATTCAGTTTTGCATAGAGCAGATTTCCTCAGAGGAATCTGAAGAAGTGCGGCTGCACACGAAAGCTCAGGCCTTGAATAAACCTTTGTTGGTCCTCAAGGTGCCCCCACTGGACTCAAACTTTGTTCTGCTGCTTCAGACCGACACAGCTGCTCCACCTGGATCAGTTCTGCATAGTTTGGGGAAAGCCAGGAGAGGAGGAGCTTTCCTGACCTCCTCGGGCAGGCCATACTGCAAGGTGGGGCCACCACAGAGAAGGCCACACGTCCCGGCAGTTCTCAGCGTTGCCCTCTTGCAGGTTGGCACCCGCAGGAGGCCCTGCTTGGATGAGCGGAACTGTCACAGCAGAGTGCAGGGGGAGAGACCGTCTTGCAGATACAAGGGTCCAAGGCCAGGAGGGACTTTGTCGGTCATAGCCAGTACTTTAAATTGAGCCTGGCAACTGCTGTCACAGCAGAGTGCGGGGGGAGAGACCGTCTTGCAGGGACTTTGTCGGTCACAGCCAGTACTTTAAATTGAGCCTGGCAACTGAAGGGCAGCCAGGGAAGTGATTGCAGAATGGGAGTAAGATGCATGCTCCGTTTTCAACTTTAGGGAGGTACTTTTCAAAACTAGTGTGAACTGCAAGAGTCATTTGTCCAAACGGAGGGCTGCTTCGTCTCTGAACAGGACGTTTCATCTATTGCAGGGCTCTGGGCGATGTACAGTATCCATAAAAACATAAAAAATTAAAAACCGTTAATAACACACTTCAGAAAAAGATCAGATGGAAAATGGTCTCGTGCCGGCTGAAGTTAGGGCAGGTCAATATATATTAATAAACGGCAGGAAAGAGAACTGATCCCATACATATATAACCTTGGCCCAGTACCAGTTTGCTTATGACGCAGGACCAAGGCAGAGAGTCATCCCTAAATGGACGGTTCTATGTATTTGGCCATGCCCGCTAATCTGGGGTCAACTGCGCTTCTGCAACTCTGCAACACTGCTGCAGTTTAGGCAAAGAGCTGGCTGTTATATCCTGCTTTCCCCTGCCTTAAGGAGCCTTCTCTATCTTAAAGAGGGCTTGTGCCGAAGGTTCAGCAAATGCTGGTGAAGGATCCCAGCATAGCCAGAAAGAAGCCATGTTTTACCCACAGTGCACTGTACCTTTGTGTGGAACCTGATGCTAAAATCATCTCTCTGCCTCACACACCGGGGATTTCACTCATGCTCAAGGAACGATTAAACCAGGGTTACCATATTTTGAAAAGCAAAAAAAAAGCACATCTTTCCCGACTGACTACTTCAAACAAGTGATCGCTATGACAAATCTCATTTTAAATACTCCTACTATTCAAGCTGTAATAATGGCCACTAACCAGGAATATTCCTAACCTTCCAGCCCAAAAAGAGGGCCATTTTCTCCAGTTTTTTAAAAAGAGCCTAATAAAAGAGGATGTACACCAAAAAAGAGGACATCTGGTAACCCTAATTTAATATAACTTTTTCCTTAGTATGTTTAAAGCATCTAAAGATAGGGTGAGCGCACTGAGTACCATCAGTGTCCCCTCTAAGCTGAGTTAGTGTGAGCTAGCTCACAGTTTTTTAGCCTCCGGCTCACATATTCTTGTGTTAGCTCAGGAAGGATGACTACAGAGCAAACTAATGTATGCAGTAGCCAAATCACTTGCTCACATCTTTAATGCCAGGAGCTCACAAAGTACAATTTTTACTCACAAGACTCCACAGCTTAGGGGGAGCATTGAGTACCAACCTAGTCATTTTTTGAAATATTTTTGAATATTTGATTTTGTCTCTGTGAGACTCTCTTAGCAGATATTTGATGCTCCAGCTTACTAACGTTTGGGTCCTAACCTCTGTTTATCGTTAACTCTTGTCTACCGACCAGACCCTGATGTTCCTGATGTTTAATTTTATTTTAAAAATGGTTTTCCCTTGGACCAGCCTGCCCCCTGCAGGCGGATGGGCGGAAGCGCTCTCTGCCGCAGCCAAAGAAAGGACTCCTCCAGCCTGCAGAGGGCTCTTGCGGAGAGAGGAAGCCGATGTGCATGTTTGCATTTTTTGTTTTCCTGCAAATTTGAACGTTGCGGGTGACTGCGGCGTTGCCCTTCCGCTTCCTGCATTCTGCCAGGAGCGACCCAATGCGTTAAGGGGGAAAAGGTGAGCCGGGGAGAAGGGGGGGGGGGTCGGGATAGCTGCAGAGGCTCTGTCTGGCTTTTTTAGCAAAACGGAGGGAAGGATGTGCTTGACTGGTGGCTGAAAACGGCCGTGCGTGGGTTTGGGTCACCGATCTGGAAAGCGCCCGCTTCGAATTGGCATGCCGAGAAGCCATTGCATTAAGGGAGGCGACTCCGCTTGCCAAAGCGTTAGGTGTAGTGATATTGTTCGATTTTATATAAGGCGTTGGTGGGATCAAACCGTTTGGACGAGCTCTCGGTCATCCTTCCAACAGCCTTACCAGGTAGGCCTCTGCGAGTCTTCCCCGTTGGCCTTATAAAGAGCAGCGGTTGGCCTTATAAAGAGCAATTATTTTTTTAAACGATCGTTCCTGTAGAACAGCACTCTGTATCGTACCGCTTGTGAGAGTCTTGATGATTTTGTGCCTCCCTTCCATGATACGCATCCTATACAAAAATGGCCCCCATTCCCGCTTTGGGGAGTCGGGGAGATAAATGCAGAAAATATTCATCTAAGAATGGAAAAGGAAAGGATTGAACCGGGGGAGGGAGAGAAGAAGACAGATGCTTTGGAAGGCAGGGTAAGGGGGGGGGGGTTGCTGCCACCGGAAGAGATCAAAGTTTTAATGTAAAAGCAAGTTATGTAAAAGCAAGTTATGTAATGTAAAAGCAAGTTTTGATGTAAAAGCTATTTCTAGGAGTGCCTTTTTCATTTACATTACACTTTTAATTTAGCAGAGCGATTTTGCCAATCTAGCTCTGCTAACTAATGCATGCATCTGGGTTGGACTACATGCTGGGGGGGGGCGCTACCCTTGAAGACTGTTTGGAATCTTCAGTTGGTACAAAATATGGCAAGCCAACTGTTTATTGTCTAGGCATACAGAGTGTATAACAGATATGCTTCTTTGTCTCTGCTGGTTACCTACTGGCTTCTGAGCCCAGTTCAGAGTGCTGGTTCTTTCTCGCCCTTTTTGGCCAGGGGCCCCAATGACCGTTGGACCAGGCCTCCCAAACAGACTCTTGTGCACCAGTTGCACTCTTCAGACAAACTTCTCACTGTCTTGTTAACTCTGTCTGCCGTGTCTCAGCCTGGGAAAGGATTAGGTGAGAGGGGAAGAGAGAACAGGATGACGGGATCTGGAGCGATGGTCTGGGGAACGTGATGTTTTTTTCCTTTGTACTATGCTTGCTTGAATTCCACTGAGTGACTTGGACTGGCTAGTCCAGTGCTTGAGGTCTGGAGGGAAAGCTAACTGATTGAAGGCACACAAGGCGTGCACTGAATTAGAACAGAACTCGGAGAATTTTTTCTCCCTCTGCCAAAATAGTTGAAATCAGGGGCATCCAATGAAACTGATGGACAGTGAACTTAGGACAGACGAAAGAACATACTTCTTTGCACAGGGTAACTTGTGGAACTCACTGCCTCAGGATGCAGTGATGTTTGTTAACTTAGTTTTTAAAAAGTGATAGGACTAATCAGGGGTCATTTCATAGAAAAAGAGGTGCATGAACTCATTAGCATAACTCATTAGCACAACTTATTTGCATATGCCACACACCCTGTCAGAAGGCAACATCCACCGCTCAGGCTCCACTGGACTGTTTTGGATTGCTAGCTATTGGGGGGGGGACACACGTGCAGATCTGTCCTCACAGAGGAGGGAGAGCTTGTACCTGAATAAAACTTGGTCTTAAAGGTGCCACTGGTCTGTTTTGGACCAGGGGGCCGGGGAGGGGGGCTCTGCAACTTATCTGGCTGCTTCTTGTTCTGACTGAGGGCTGCTGGGAGCAGGGGGCGGGGCTTGTTGCATATGCCCACCCCTTGGGCTCTTTACTGTCGGAGCTCCACTCCTGTGCACTCCTCCAGGAAATGACCCCGGGGACTAATTCACGGAACACTGGCCAGTCAATGGCTAGGAGGGCTAAATGAAACCTCCGTGTTCTGAGGCAGTGTACCTCTGAATACCACTTACTTGAGAACCATGAGAGGTTTCTTTGACTTCTGTACCCCTGCATGTGAGCCTTTGAAGGACATCTGGTTAGCCATTGCGTAAAACAAGGTACTGAATTTGTCTGATTCTGCAGGGTTGTTCTGATGGGAATAAATGGAGCTGTGCAATCCCGTACAATGCAGAGGCAGACCGGAATTACTTAGGCCAACTGGAACAAGGGATGGCCAAGCCAGAGAATGATACAGAGTTGCAGCGGGCAGCCTCTTCTGCAAGACTGTTCTTGTGTATGAGGAATGATGGGCCTAGGGAAGAACCTGTTTCCTCTTTTCTTGAGCGTTGACCATTTGGACTGGTCAACATAAAATGGCCCATTGACCCACTAAATATGGGACATGTATTTTTAAAGCGCTCACTTGATTAGAACAGTGAAAAAAAGAGATACTTGAATCAGCGGCCAGTTGGATACGTGTGCTAATGACAGAAACAAATTAACTGTTATTGTGGAACCATGAAAATAACTTTCTTTGAAAAAAAATGGAAGGAACAATTATAATGTTTAATAACGTTAACTAACATTTCTGTAACGCAAATGGTTCGTTGAATGGTTCTTTTTCTTGCCTTTTATCTTGGATCAACAGGGGCAGCCTCCAGTGTAAAAAACCCGAACAAATAAAATTACAGTGGAAATAAAGCAAAGTAACAGTAACTATTAAAATTGAAAACCAGCTTTTAAAAAGGCATTTATGCTAAATGGGTAGCAGGTCAGATTGTTCCAGTAAACAGAAGCTTTGCCTCATCTGCTTCAGGGCGAGAGAGGCAGCATGGCATAGTGGCCGGGGTTGCAGAGTAGGAACCATTAAGACCTGGGTTCAGATCCCCACTGGGCCATGAAGCTTATTGCTCAGGCTAACCTACCTTGCAGGGTTGTTGTGAGGATAAAATGGAAGAGAGGAGAACCTCTCTGGATCAGAATCTGCTGAGATCCTTGGGAGGATAGAAATGCAACAGAGGGACAGCAGGCAGCTCAGCCTCCTACCTGTGCTAACAAATGATGCCAGGATTATAAAGGAAGAAAGGACTTCTTAAAACATTTTTCTTGAACCATGAGGGAATAATAATTTGTCCCGTCAGTCATCTGGTACAGGAATTTTGCTGTACATTTTGGTGTGGGCAAGGCAAAAGTTCAGACTGTACATTACTTGTCAGGAACCAGATTTCTGCAGGTGCTACCCTGCGAATGGGGAAAATCAACAACTGCCCAAATTTGCGTTTTCTTGGTTGCGGTTCCCACCTTATGAAATGGCAGGCCTCAGGATGTCGGGAAGGCTCCTGCTTTCTCAGCTTTCCTCAAACGATGCAAAACTAAATAATTCAAAGGAAGAAGAAGAAGAAGAGATTGGATTTATACCCCGCCCTTCACTACCCAAAGGTGTCTCAGAGCGGCTCACAAACTCCTTTCCCTTCCCCTCCCCCACAACAGACACCCTGTGAGGTGGGTGGGGCTGAGAGAACTCTGACACAAACTGCTCTTTTCCAAGGACAGCTGTGCCAGAGCTTGTGACTGACCCAAGGTCACATCAGCAGGTGCAAGTGGAGGAGTGGGGAATCAAACCCGGTTCTCCCAGATTAGAGTCCGCACACTTAACCACTACACCAAACTGGTTCAAGTCCAGTGACACCTTTAAGACCAAAAAGCTTTGGTGTGCATGCACACTTCTTCAGATACACTGAAATGAAAGTTGCCAGTCCATACATATAGGTAAGAGGGTGAGCAGCAAATTAGCATACAGCATAATAAAGCTGTTTAACAGATGCAAGGACCAAACTGGGATAAAAAGCTTAGTTTATACGGTCACCGTTTGTTTGGTAGATCAAGACAGGTAGCCGTGTTAGTCTGTCTGTAGCAGGAGACAAGAGCAAGAGTCCAGAAGCAGCTTCAGGACTAACATAATTCATGGCAGGGGAGGAGTTTTTGTGAGTCACTGCTCACGTCTTAGATACCCGATATCTGAAGAAGTGTGCCGTGACTCACGAAAGCTCCTATCCTGCCACAAATTCTGTTAGTCTTTATGGCGTTACTGGACTCTTGCTCTTTTCTATCATTTGTCTGGGTTTAATGTTTTCCCCTGGAATTAAACCCAGACAAATGGGCAACATATAAACAAAGCTTCCAGTTTGGTCCTTGCATCAAACACCTTGAAGAAGAAGAGAAGAGGTTGGATTTATACCCCGCCCTTCACTTGGAGTCTCAGAGCGGCTTACAAACTCCTTTCCCTTCCCCTCCCCACAACAGACACCCTGTGAGGGAGGTGGGGCTGAGAGAGCTCTGAGAGAAACTGCTCTTTTTCAGGAACAGCTCTGACAGAACTTTGGCTTGCCCAAGGTCATCCAGCAGGTGCAAGTGGAGGAGTGGGGAATCAAACCCGGTTCTCCCAGATTAGAGTCCACGCACTTAGCCACTACACCAAATTGGCTCTCCTGCTTGATTATGCTGTATGCTAATTTGCTGCTCATCCTCTATATGTGTGGACTGGTAACTTCCATTTCAATGTATCTGAAGAAGTGTGCATGCACACAAACGCTTATACCATGAATAAAACCTTTGTTGGTCTCAAAGGTGTCACTGGACTCAAACTTCACACTGCTGCTTCAGACCAACATGGCTACCCACCTGAATCTAAATAATTCAGGAGGGCTTTTCAACGCAGGGAGTGAGGTTGCATTGTACAAAATGGTTTTTAAAAGTTACTTGGATAACTCTGATCTGTACAGTGGTCTATACTGCTGTGTATAGTTTGCGGTAGGTAGGATCCTCTTATGAAATTCTGCATCGTTTAATGTGTCGGATTAGTACCCGTGCTTGCTTCAATCCTGCTGTTTTTGTTTCTGATTGGTTCCAGACTTCTGCAATCCTAACCCTATTGCATTCTTTATCGAATGTCCTATCCTGTTGGTTGTCCTGACTCCTTCGGTGTAATCCGCCTTGAGACCCAGTAAGAAAGGCAGACTATAAATAGCGTCAGTAGAATAAAAGTAAATATATTTTTTCAATTGGCCTGTGTATAAAAAGTACCATTCACTCTGCAAGTGCTCCTTTCAAAATAAAATTAAGAACCTGGTGTGGTGTGGTATAGCCATACAGGGCTTTTTGCTTTGATCTTCAGTACTTCGGAGTGTTTTTGTTGTTCAGTCGCACAGTCGGGTCCAACTCTTTGCGACCCCATGGACCACATCACGCCAGGCCCTCCTGTCTTCCGTCGTGCTCCGGAGTTTGCTCAATTTCATGTTCCTTGCCTCGATAACACTGTCTAACCATCTCATCCTTTGCCGTCCTTGTCTTCTTTGACCTTCAGTCTTTCCCAGCATCAGGGTCTTCTCCAGTGAGGGCTCCCTTCTCATTTGGGGGCCAGAGTACAGTACAGAGTAGAAATATTCCTCGCAGTACAGAGTAGAAATATTTCGTACAAGCCATGCAGGGTTTGCCTTAACTGAGATCTAAAGCCGCTGGCTGCCTGTGTGGCTGTGGAAATACAGAGCCACCCTGCCCTGCAGATAGGCGCAGGCGGCCTTCTTGATAAGGGGCAGGGAGGACAAGGCCGGGGGGAAGGGGTGTTCCTCTTTGGTTCTTGCCTTTCCAGACTGAAGCGCCACCAACCTTGGCAGTGTGGATCAGAATTTGGTGACCAGTTAGTGGCAAACATAAGTGCAGCTGCTGTGACTTCCAAGAAATTGCAATATGTGCTTATGTTTTCTGGAAAAGCAACTAATTTCTTTACAGCTTGGGACTTTTCCCAGCATGACCTGACACATGCCCAACTGGTAAAAAAGAGTGGGATTTGGTCGCTGGCCAAACAGTCCTGGCAGATTATGAGGCTTAGTGCTAGATATCGGAAATGATTTAGTCCAAAAGTCCGCATGGTCAAAGCAACGGTATTCCCAGTAGTCATGTATGGCTGCGAGAGTTGGACTATAAGGAAGGCCGAGCGCCGAAGAATAGATTCTTTTGAACTATGGTGCTGGAGAAGACTCTTGAGAGTCCCTTGGACTGCAAGAAGATCAAATCAGTCAATCCTCAAAGAAATCAACCCTGACTGTTCCCTGGAAGGCCAGATAATGAAACTGAAGCTCAAATACTTTGGCCACCCAATGAGAAGGGAGCACTCACTGGAGAAGACCCTGATGCTGGGAAAGATTGAAGGTCAAAGAAGACGGGGACGGCAAAGGATGAGATGGTTGGACAGTGTCATCGACGCAACGAACATGAAATTGAGCCAACTTCAGAGTACGACGGAAGACCGGAGGGCCTGGCGTGATCTGGTCCATGGGGTCGCGAAGAGTCGGACTCGACTGTGCGACTGAACAACAACAAGTGTGCCTCTGGAAGAAAGGTAGTCCCCTCATGTCTCTGCATAACTTCTGTCATTAGGAGAGCTGTAAATTATAGTAAAGATGGAGGAGGACTCTCTTTCTCTCTCTCTCTCCATGCTTCTTTCAAGAAAGATCTTCCATATGGTGATTCTTAGACTTATTATGGTTGGTTCATATTGTAAATGTCTTTTTTTCTTTGTATTTTTCATATGCGCGCGTGTGTGTGTTTGCGCGCACCTAGAAGTCATGGCGGCCTCTGGTGACTGACCCCTACTGGGAGCCTGGGGGGATATTCAGAGAGGTGGCTGAATAAAGCCTGCCCCCACCTCCTGCCTCTGGTATTCCAAGGAGGTCTCCCATCCAAGTCCTTGCCAGAGTCGACCCTGCTCAGCTTCCGAGATCTGAGGAGATCGGGCTGGCCTGGCCGATCCAGCTTTTGATTGTTTTCTTTAGCTCTGTTGTGTTCTGTCACTTGCTTCGAACAGAATCCCCCCCAAGAAACGGTATACAAATACTTCAGGTAAAAGAAATGTGGACTTTTGCTGGCAAAGGATGGAAATGAAAGCAAAAAAACCCCCATCTTTGAGAGAAGATATTGGCGAGCCTTGAGATTTCCCAGTCAATGTTAGAATTTGCCGAGCATTCACCACTGGCCTCTTCAGGTGTAACAGGAAAGGCATCAGCATTCAGGTCATCTGGCACCAGCTGCCTTCAGCTGTCACAGTCAGGACAACCTATGACGAAGCCGCAGTCGGGCATGAATGCAGCTGGTTGCCCACTCTGCCCCTCCCAAGGACCTCTATCTGATCCAGCTGCGTCTCGCCTGGACATCCAGACGCACGGGGACTCTAAACCCAGGATTAAACTGTCCCAGTCTAGGGGGAGTAAACCAGCTCCGTTCCCCAGGCACCCACATTTGGAGGTCGCAGTGCGTTGAGAGCCAGTTTGGTGTAGTGGTTTGGAGCGCAGACTCTAATCTGGGAGAACTGGGTTTGATTCCCCACTCCTTCCGCATGCAGCTGCTGGTGTGACCTTGGGTCAGTCACTAGTTATTTCAGAGCTGTTCTCTCACGGGCAGTTCTCGAGAGAGCTCTCTCATCCCCCCCCCCACGTCACAGGGTGTCTGCTGTGGGGAGGGGAAGGGAAAGGAGTCTGTAAGCCGCTCTGAGACTCCTTTGGGTATCGAAGGGCGGGGTATAAATGCAGTCTCTCTTCTCTTAAGAGTTTGATCAGATCAGGAAGTTTTCAGTCACGCTCCAGGAGAAGAGTGCAGGGAGTATTCCAGCAAGGCTGCAAGCTACGTTTGTGCCCAGTCTCAGTTTCTTCCCACCTTATCTTGGTGTCCGAACACTTCCACGCTAACGTACATATTTTGAATATACAGGTGTGAACAAATTGCGCACCATTGCCATTTCAAACCCGTTATTTAGAGACGATTGTTTTGATTTTTAGATACGCCCAGGAGGGAATTGTCTGCTTTGCTGAGAGACCAGCAGTTGTTTCTGGATGACCTTCGACCAGGAGGGAACAATGCCCTTTCTGCACGGCTTCCGTAGGATCATCTTTGAGTACCAGCCGTTCGTAGACGAGATCTTGGGCTGCCTGGGGTTGCAGGATCCTGAACGGCAAGAAACCCTCGAGAGGTAATGGGCTTGAAAGGTCAATTGATACTCATTGCATTTGGGTGCTGGTCTTCCTACAAGGTGTTTAGAAGCATGTAAGAGGACAGTTCCTGCGGTCTGTTGACCTGGAGGACCACAGGTTGCGCCAACCAGTCCTGGGGGTGCCTGCAATGCTGCAGGGTCTGCTTGGCTCAGACGCAGGCTACGGTGACTATGGAAAAGAGCGTAGGCTCGCCCAAGAGACAACTTGGCATTTGGTAGCATTCATTACCATGTGGGCAGCTGGCCAGCGACCTCATATGTGCTCAAACTGTAATGATCTGCTGAGCTTGATGGGAATTGTAGTTCTCTCGGTCTTCGGGTTAAAACTACAATCCCCATCGACCCCAGCAGGAAGTGGTGCTGAGGAAGAGTGGTAAGTGTCATTTATTGGAAAGAGAAATCCTGGTGGGAGCCATTCTCCAAATAAAAGTGCCAGCCCAGCTTGGGGGGCGGGGTTCCAAACTGGCATTGCAAGATGTCGTGACATCGCTTTCGCTCAGGAACCCTGTTGCAGCAACGCTCCAGAATTCCCCCTGATTTCTATGGTAAAAACCATAGAGATTGGGGAAGTTCCTAGAGCATTGCTGCAGCGTGGTGATGTGGTGTCCATGTTCTGGCTGGAAGTGATGTCGCAGTGTTGTGGGAATGGGAAGTGCCAGTGGGGCAAACGGTAACTCTACCTCCCTAGTGGGTGACTTCTCCCCACGTGTGTATGGGTGGATGCATGTGTGCACAGTTTACAGCGTGTGTGTGTTGGACAGGGATGCTTGCAAAAAATGTGGGAGATGTGAGTGGTTTGCAGGTGAGCGGTGGTCCTTCCACCCTTCACCAGTCTGGGGGAAACTGCTTAGCCGTGCCATTCGGGTTCTGCGATTCCCCCCAATGCGTTGGCCACCTTTACCTTCCGTGGTCCTTCTGTCTTTCCCAAGTCCCGGCGACGTGGCGGAAGATGACGGCCGACTGCTGGTCCTCCAGGAGCTTCTGGAGAGAGAGGCCCATTCCCCGTTCTACCAGGAAGGAGTGAGCTACGCTCTGCTGAAAGTGGCCGAGCTCGGGCTGACTCACGCTGCCGAAACCCTCTTACACAACGGGGCAGACATCGTCTTTGAAGGTAGGAGGAGAGGGGGCGTGGCTCAGTGGTAAAGCATCGGCTTGGCATGCAGAAGGTCCCAGGTTCAATCCCCGGGATCTCCAGTTAAACGATTTGGCAATAGGTGATGTGAAAGACCTCTGCCTGAGACCCTGGAGAGCTGCTGCCAGACTGAGTAGACCAGACTGACTTTGATGGACCGGGGGTCTGGTTCAGTATAAGGCTGTGGTCACACAGCAAGCTTACCGCGATTTGTTCCTGCTGTATATTTGATCGGGGGTATTTTGTGGGTTGGGATGATGACACATCCCTCCTCGAACCGCTTGCATCACGTGATGAGGCTCCAGGCACCGTCCAGATAGCCACGTTGCCCAAGCAGCGGCACAGCACAATTTTTGTAATTTTTTTCACTGCGCATACACATATGTGCATGGCCAGATCACTGCTCCCGTTTGGATGCGTTGTACTCCCTTTTTTTGCAGTGTTTTTTCCCTGAACAGCGAACAGAATGAACCACTGACGTACTACCAAACGCTGGAGTCTATGTGCGCTTGAACTTTCATGCATTGAATATATTCAGCGCAGAATTGATCATGCACACAACGGCGAAAGCTGGGGAAAAATTTCAGCGCAAGAAGGACGTTCAGACAACCTAATCACATTCATAGCGAGAGATGGCTGTTCAGGTTGGCGAAATTGCAGATTCGCAGCGCAATTGGAAAGTACTTGATTTTTCCGGTGTCGGAAAAATCGCTAAAAAACCAGGAGGATTGTGGGGGTGAGTCCGCTTCAATACTGGAGACAGTTGTGGCCGTCTGATCAGCACTTTTAAATGCGACTGGGAACAGTGGTGAAACCTGATCTGAATGACCGTGTGACCACAGCCTAAGTCAGCTTCACATGTGTTCATGAGCTGCACTTCTGGGGTCCTCTGCTTTTCCCCCTAAATGATGACCAAAGGCTTTAGGGCAGGGGTTCCCAACCTCGTTGAGCCCCTTGGAAATCCTGATACAGGGTGGGGGGCAGAACCACAGAATGGCTGCCGCAAGCGGTGCAGCCACGTGCCCAGAGGAAACCCAAATGCAGGCAAGAGGAGGGGTATTTTTTAAAAAAAATGCTAGGAAAGCAGAGTGAAAGGGAATAAAATGAACCCTGTGTGGTGACCGCTGCCGCTGAAGCAAGGTTCTTTTAGCATGACCAGCCAATGGAATGTCCAGCAGCGGCCAGTCAGAAGCCCTGCTCTGGGCAAAGCCCCACCTGGCTCCACTGGGTGGGCACCAGGAAAGGTGTCAGCGGGCACCACGTTAGGGAACCCTGCTTTAGGGTAACGTGGCATGGCATGTGGCCGCGGGGGGGGGGGGGGGACAAAAAAACCAAACCAGTCTGGGCATGGGAGACAACATCACTTACACCGTGACTTTCCTCCCCCTCGGCAGGACTAGGTTTGCTTGGAGTCTTGGTGGGCATCTCTGTGGACGGTGTGTGCCACCACGAGGGACAGTGTGTTGTGGTGGTTACAGTGTTGGACCACACCCGAGGAGCCCCCATCCCCCCCTCCATTTCTTTGTCCCCACCCCAAATCTTAAAAGTGTGACGACTGGGAAACTAGAGTTATCTATTTAGTAGGTCACTTTATTTATTTATATCCTGCCTTTCACCTCCAGTGGGGACCAATGCTCCCTCTAAGCTGTGGAGTCTTGTGAGCAAAAATTCTACTTTCTGAGCTACTGGCATTAAAGTTGTGAGCCAGTGACTTGGCTACTGCATAAATTAGCTTGCTCTGGAGCCCTCCTTCCTGAGCTAAGACAAAAATGTATGAGCCGGAGGCTAAACAACGATGAGCTACTCACAGTAACTCAGCTTAGAGGGAACGCTGGTGGGGACCCAGAGTGGTTTACAGCGTTCATCTCTTTTTTAGCCTCACAGCAATCCTGCGAGGTAGGTTAGGCGGAGACTGTGTGCCTGGCCCAAGGTCACCCAGCCAGCTTCCGTGGCACGAGCCAGGATTCGAACTTGGGCTTCCCAGACCCTAGTCCAACACTTCAACTACTACGCCATGCTGTCTCTCAGTTATGTGGTATCGACTGTTAAGTGAATGTGGGAGATCTGGTTTCTTTGCTCTCCCGTTCAGACATACCTTGGTGCGCAACTCTCTGTGCATTTTGCCACTCTCCTCTGGCCCTTGCTCTTTAAAGACAGCGTGCGTTTTGCCTCGCTTGGCACTCCGGAGTTTTGTGATGTCGCGCCGGAGTTCCCTGTAGACGGTCTCCATAGCAACATGGCCGCTCCTGGGCGAGGCAGGCTTGATGGCGCGCGTGAGGGCCTTGGACTGCCAGATGGGGAGGAACTGGGTAGAGTCTTTCCTCAATTGCTGGTTTCCCTATTGCAGGGGAGACGTGTCTAGTGGTAAGGGATCGGCTGTCTTTCCACATGCCTGGCAAAGTCCCTACGAATGAAAAACGCAACTCAGACACTCTGTATTGGGTTGATGGCCAAGCTCAAGAGGACGCTGGGAGATCTGTGGAGGGCGGGCTTTGTGGGTTCTTCCTCCCCCCCCTCCCCCAGAGCAGCCCCTGGAGAAAGAAACTCAGGATTGGGATCACAGTGAATGAAGAGAGGAGTTAACACAGCCCCTCCCCCCTATTTTTCCAACTTTGGCCGGCTGCCTCCCAGTTTGGAGTTTGCCCTGCAATACATAAAGGCATTGGGTACGGCCAGGAAGCTGAGTGGTGGGCTAGGACCCTGGGAGACTCAGGTTCGAATCCCCACTTCTGCCACGGAAGCTCGCTGGGTGACCTTAGGCCAGTCACACACTCTGAGCCTGGTCACCCCACAAGGTTGTTGTGGAGAAATGGGGGAAGGGGAGAGCAAGTCTCTAAGCCCCTTTGAATCCCAGTGGAGGAGAAAAGTGGGATATGAATACACACATGCAAATGCACAGACACCCAAGGCCCTAGCTAGGTGGAAAAGGTGTGTGGGGGGGAATGTTTGAAGCAAATAACAAAATAATAAAAACAAAGTTTGCACCAAAGTAGACATTTGCGAATCCAGGTCACAAATCCATGCTGTTTTCTTAGAAGCCCCCCACCCCGTCTGGCCAGGATCCATTCTCTGCAATGGAATGTCACACAGCAGCCTCTCAGATGGCTGAGCCTTTTGGTTTGCAATGACATCATCTTCTCCTTCTCCTGTCTGTACCCACGGACATCTGTATCTCCCCCCCCCCCCCCGTATAGCACTTCATGCATCTGACGAAGTGGGCTGTGTGACTCGTGAAAGACTGTGGTGCGGTATTTTTGTTTCTTTGTAAAGATGCTACCTTGCTGGGGTTGATCAGACCGAATATCTTTCTATTATTAGATCCAGCTTTTTGAGAGGACCGTTCTCTCTGGTGCCAGCTCCAGGGAGAGGCCTGGTATTAAGGGTATTGCTGAATTCTGCCTAAAACAGACTTTTTAATGCTTCCTCCCTCTCCCTCCCTCCCTCCCTCTCTCTCTCTCTCTCTCATTTTAAGATCCAGTCACGTATTACACAGCCCTGCATATTGCAGTGCTCCGGAACCAGCCGGACATGATGGAACTCCTGGTACAGAGAGGGGCGGACATTAATCGGCGGGACAGGGTAGGTTGCGTGCCAAGACTGGGGGCCCGGTGACTT